ACATCATCGAGTGGTGTACCGTGCCTGGGCTTCCTCGATCCTGTCCACCGCGATTCTGTTGCGGCCAGTCTTTTTGGGCTAGTCTCCCTAAGACTTCGCAGACCAAACACATCTACGGGCAACTTACGGCTGGTAAGGCACCGGGGTCCCTTACCTTGGTTGCCTCGGTTGAGTCCGCTCGTCCTCTTTTTGAAGAGGAGCGTGATGAGGTCACTGAGTTAAGTATGGTTGGCACCTCGTCCACCGGCCCTGACCGGTCTCGCGGCCATGCGCCCCCATTTTCTCGTTCCTCTTCTCGGAGCTCACACCCCTACGGTGCCGGCCATCTTCGCGGTCGCCGCCATGGCTCGAGTAAGGGCCACGGACGCGCCGGCGCTCCTACCGAGCTGAATCAGCTTGCTACCATGCTTAAGTCGCTTATGCGTTCGCAGCTGCCCAGTTCGCGATCGTCGTCGACTCAGGCTGATCGTAAGTGCTTTGCTTGTGGGGACAAGGGGCACCTGGCTAAAGCGTGCCCGCGCGTTCAACGCAGTCAGGTAGGGGGCATGGTTGTCCTTCGCTGCGTGGGCGACTCGCTTTTGTTCCTTTTAGACACCGGATGCTCCCTAACCCTCGTTACTCGTTCCGCTGTAAGCCGGCTTGGAGCCGCGTCTACCTGAAGAGCATTGCCCAAGGTTGGAGGACCAACCGCATGAGCCTGCTCGAGGCCTTAATAGGTTGAGGATGAGCTCACGAAAATTTTACGCTTGGGATTGCATCATACCACCGAAAATTCAGAGAAAAGCATATTTTAGAGTGGCATAACTGCCCCGTCCAGCGAGATTGATTGTACCGAAACAAATCTTGGAGTGGCATAGCTGCCCCGTCCGGCGAGAGTGATTGTACCGAAACCGATCTTGGAGTGGCATAGCTGCCCCGTCCGGCGAGAGTGATTGTACCGGAGCAGATTTTGAGATGGCATAACTGCCCCGGGCATGAAGCTCTTACTTGGGTAGGAGCAAACTCCACTCGAGAAATTATCGACTCAACTCGATAACAAAATTCGCATCGGATTTGAAGTATGGGCGTACTACTAGAATGTTGTAGAAGCCGTAATGGAAAAATAGGGCAACTCTGTACAAAGGGCTGCATTGCTCAGAAATCGACTAAGCGATTCGTTGCACAGATAAAATACCAGACCATAAGCCAGTGGACCTCCGGCCGGCCAGCCGCGGGGGGACGACGTTTACTTCAGGGACTTCTTAGTCGTAGCTGCTTTGGTAGTCGTCGCCGGCTTGGCCGTAGGGTGGTGAGGCGTAGTATGGTGAGACGTCGGCTTAGCGGTTGTCTTCTCTGACAAAGATGAGAGAAGTGAGCAAGTCAGAGTTGAAAATACCTACTATTCTTGCTGCATCCTGTGAGGAAGAATAGTGCGAGGAGTGCGAATACAATAGAAGTCGAAAAAGCCTTCATTGTATATACGATGTTAAACCCTGACAGAACCAGTCGATCGACGGAATCGGCACACCAATGATCTTTCATCAGGTAAACGAAATGAACATTTCTCCTACCGTGATTGAAACTTTCATCCGGTTCGTAATACTACTAGGATTTGAATGAAACATTCGGCGTTTCAGCACAGTTTGTGCGGGCAAAGCAAGTGCCGCACAACCTGTAGTACTACCCAGTACCTGAGAGACGTAGGAG